ACCAGGCCCGGCAGCAGCTCGAGGAAGAGGACGAGGAGGAGGCTGCGCCCCTCAGCCGCACGGAGGTGGCCACCCTGAGCCAGGAGCTGCTGCAGTTCATGGCCACCAAGGTAGCACTGTGGCTGGGGCAGGCGGTGGCCCGGGTGTGCTGGACTTGGGCACAGAGAGGCTGAGTGGCTGAGCTGAGACCACACAGCTGGTCAGGGAGGAGCCTGTGCACTGCTTCTCGGCAGATGCCTGTGAAGCACCTGCGTGCACAGGCGCAGTGCCCCCAGTTAACAGCTCAGGTTGTGACTAGAGAGGAGGCCGCCATGTGCATTCATAGGGAAGGCTGCAGGCACGGCTGGATCCAGCTGCCCCGTGTCGGCTCCCTGGGTCTGTCTCCTTAGGTTCCCTACAGCCTCCGGCGGCTCACGGGGCTGGAAGCCCAGAACCTCTATGTGGGACCCCAGACCATCACAGCCATGCCCAGTCTCCCTGGCCTCTTTGGCAGCTCTGCTCTGTCCCCCCACCCCACCAAGGGTGGCTACAGTGTCACCGACTTCCTCACCTACAACTGCCTCTCGGTGAGTGCGGGCCCCTGGGCCCCCTCAGCCCCTGCCCTGGAGACGGGGTGCTAGGAACCCCACTCGGACCCTGCAGCTGCAGGGCCTGAGCCGACGCACCCTCTGCAGAGCGACACGGACCTGTACGGTGGCTGCCTGCGCACCTTCTGGACCTGCCCGCACTGCGGCCTGCACCTGCCGCTCACGCCCCTGGAGCGCATGGCCCACGAGAGCACCTGTGCAGAGGGGCCCGACGGTGCCCCAGGTAAGGGGCTCCTCCCTCCTGCAGGGCCCACCTCTCGGCTGTGGTCTCTGGTCCCTCCTGTGTCTCCATGGCTGCGTCCCCTGCTCCTTTCTCGTCCCTCGGCTGTCCGTGCCATTGTCACCAAGGGGTGCCACAGCGTCTGCCTCTGTACCCCACGCCGCAGGGACGGTGGCGGGGCTGCGTCTCTGCCTTCTCTGGGGATAGGGTCCAGTCCAGCCCGCGTGTGTGGTTAGCAAGGGGGCTCCCGAGGTGGGGGGAGAGCGGGAACCTCGCGCCCCTCTGAGCCTCCCTCCCCACCCCACAGGTGCTGAGGAAGCCGCTTCCGAGCAGCCCCAGAAGGCGTCCGCCCTGCGGCGGCCCTACCGCTGCGACAGCTGCCAGAAGGACTTCCTGTTCACACCCATCGAGGCGCTGCGCCACCGAAGGCAGCACGTGTGAGCCACCGCCCGACCCCACCATCCCCCGGCGACCCCTGCGGCGGCCAGGCTCCGAGCGGCGCTGCTCCCGGCGGCACGGAGGGAACAGGAGGGCAATAAAGCTCGCACTGGTGCCACCTCGACCTCCCTTCCTACTCCGTCCACTGAAAAGCCCTGCTTGAGGGTGTCTGTCTCCGGTGACCCTGCGGCAAGGGCTGTTTGGGAGGAGGCTGGGCGGGACCTGGCCTGAGCCTCCAATCTGCCATGTCCTTTGTGTCGTTAGACGCACGTCACCTCTGCACCCTGGGTCCCTCATTGGTGAGATGGGATTACAGCTCCCACCTTGGGGTCGGCACAAGTACCCAGGCCAAGCTCGGCTGCCCAGCCTCGTGGCCGTTGTTAATTTTCTTTGGTGATCTATTTTGAGATGGGGGCTTTTGCTTTGTTTCCAGGCTGACCTTGAACTCCTGGGCAGAAGTGATCCTCCTGCCTCAGCCTCCTGTGTGGCTGAGACTGGGTGCATGCCTGTTTCAGTGTTCAGAGTCACAGTTGTATGCCAGTGACTGCCTGGGCAGGTCCCCCCACCCAGACTCACACGGGACACAGCCCTGACCCACCCTCCCCTCTCCCTCTGAAAGCTCCTGTAGGGCAAGGTGACTTCCCTGGCCCTGCGGCCTTTGTCCCAGCAGTGTCCCTTGGCTGACCTCCTCTTCCCGCTGCAAGTGCCCGAGAGTGCTCCATTTGATGGGCTTTTTGTTTGTACCAGGGATCAAATTGAGGTCCTTGTGCTTGCCAGGCAGGTGCAGTGCCACTGAGCTACTTTGGGTTTTTCAGTATTGGGGAGTGAACCCAGGGCCTTTGCACTGAGCCACATCCCTGATCCTTTTTAGTTTTTGAGACAGGGTCTCTGTAAATCATAACATTCCCCAGTCTGGACTCAAACTTGAGATCCTCTTGCCTCAGCCTTCCAGATGCTAGGATCACAGCTATGTGCCCCATGCCCGGCTGCCAGAGAGCCCTTGGAGGAGAAGGTGTGTTTGCCGTTCCCACTGCCCCGTGTTCGGGTCCACACACCTCGGGAGGTCCCCAGCACTCTTCTGTGCACCTTCCTGAGCTGCCTGCTCTTTCCCACCACCCTGGCCTGGCTATAGCTCCCGACTCCCTCCCCTGCTTCCCACGGCTGCCGGGACAGAACCACAGGCAGCGAGGCTTCCGGCTCTCGGTTCCAGAGGCCGGAAGTCCAGGATCAAGGCCTGCAGGGCCGCACTCCCTCGGGGCCTGCTCACTGCCCCCGCCTCTCCTGGCAGCTTGGCTCTCCTTGGCTTGCGCACAGGCCCTATTCAGCCCTCCTGCAGCGCAGGAAGAGTCTGCAGTCCCCTGAGGAGAGACGCTTACACTGCACAAGGCTGGGCCCAGGCACCTTAACTCAGCCTCCTGTGGCTCAGTGTCTCAGCCAGGCCTGCAGGGTCCCCTCTGACCCACCGGGGATGAAGCACAAGCCCCGCTCCGCCTCTGCACCAGTTCCCCCGAGATGGGAAGAAACGAAGTGTGGACCCCGCCATAATGTGACGGCCCTGGAGGGCAGGACGCAGAGCGGCAGGAGCAGACACCAGTGTTCGCGGACGCGAGATGCCCAGCCGGGCGCGCTGGCTCAGGTCTGAGATCCGCGCTGTGGGAGGCTGAGGCTGGAGGGTCTCAAGGTGCCAGCCTGGCTGATTTGGCAAAACTCTGCCTCAAAGTGAAAGATAGGCTGGGGCTGGGGCTGGGGCTCAGTGTGAAGGCCCTGGGTTCAGTCACCGTTACTGAATAAAAGGAAGGAGGGAGAGAAGGAGAGGAAGAAGGAAAGGAAAAGGAAATTCCCAGAGCAGGTAAGCCCAGGCACAGGGCGGGGATTAGTACGAGGGCGGCTGAGGGAGAGAAGGAGAGGAAGAAGGAAAGGAAAAGGAAATTCCCAGAGCAGGTAAGCCCAGGCACAGGGCGGGGATTAGTAGCCGAGGGCGGCTGTGTTCCAGGGATTTTCTTGCGGGTTAGTGTGGTGGAAGTCGCTGGTGGTGGTGATGCACAGCTTGATTATAGACTGCAGACAGTGAATTCTGCGGCAAGCGAGTTCCATCTTGTTGGAGCGGTTACCAACGGGGAGAGGACACCCGCGGTTCCCTGCCACTCCCTGGAGGGGGCCGGCCTCGTTGCTGCCCCCTTCCCGCCTCCTCCTGGCCCCCAGTGCAGTGCTCCGGCCCCTGCACAGACTCTGGCCCCACGTCCCAGGCTGTGTGCACAGCCTGTGTGTCCGACATGGCTGTGAGGTGACGCACGGGAGACATCAAAAGCTCCATGCCCAGGAGGTGCGGGGGTATTTTTAGGGGCATCGGCCACTTTCCGTCGCCGGGTGGTGCCTCCAAATGGGTATAACCTAAAGGATTAAGTGGGGGCGTTTCCAGGGATGGGGAGAGGTGCACGTGGTCTCACTGCGTAGGCCAGGTTGGCGTTGAACTTGTGGCAGTCCTGCCTCAGCCTCCCAAATGCTAGGATCACAGGCGTGCACCACCACCCCTGGCTAAATCCTACGCTGCTTTCTTCACCTCCCCAGAGTCTGGTCCTCACGGGAGACTGGAGCAAGTCCCCCAAACGGGGCCGATGCCTCATTTGGCCCATCTGGAACAGCTCCCCAAGGACAAGGGCCTTGGTATCAGGGTGGGGACACATGGGACGTCAGCACTGAGTATGTACTTGTTGCGTGAGTGAGTGAGCAGAAGGTCGCCTGTAGTCCCAGAGACTGGAGGCTGAGGTAGGAGGGTCCCAAGTTCAAGGCCCGCCTAGTGCTAGGACCCCACACCGCAGGCAGTGTCGCCTGCCCATCTAGCTGTGGAGCCTGAGGCCACAAAGCAAAGCACTGTCCTGGGGTGCGGCAGTGGGCAGCACGCATTGGCCCGAGCCTCCCTCCACCTGCACTCCCAGGGACGCAGAAAGCATCGCCCAAGCCCCAGATAGGAGCTGGGGTTCAAACAGCTGCCATCCTGTGCCCTTCAGCTCCACCCCCCACACTGTGAGCCACGACACCCCACGTGCCCCTGAAAGGGTGGACGCTTTCTCCTCTAGGATCGGGGCCCCTGGCCTCGGGGCTTCCGTGGCCCAGAGCATCCCATTCCCATAGGGAAGTGCAGCCCAGCCTTGTCCCCAGGAACAAACTGTGCAGCTTCTGTCGGTGAGAGCCGCTGGGTCCTTCATCCTGGTTGTCCCTGTGGTCGGCCAGCCGCACTCCACAAGCAGGCCCCCTGCTGCCCACCAGCAGACAACAGATACACAGCGTGGCCCTGCTAAAGCCACCCGAGCTGCCCAGCCCTGCCTGGTGGAAAGTCCAACCCCAGCACCACAAGGGTAAAAATAGCTGACATTTGGAAGCTTATGGGAAGCTCTTGTTACGCAGCACTGACTAACTGATACACTGGGGTGCCCGAGCAGGGTGCAGACTATCGATTGTTATTACTAGTTGTGGTTTGTGGGCTTCAGCGAGAATTTGAACTCTTGGTTTCTCTGATATTTTTTGTTTGTTTCCGTGGTACCAGCGATCAAACTCAGGCCCTTGCGCTTGCAAGGCAGGCTGCGGAACCATTGAGTCAAATCCCCGGCCCTTAGAATTTGAACTCTTGGAAGAGACACAAGAACTCTTAACTGGTGAATTTGTGTTTTTAAGATTTTATCAAAAAAAAAAGGTAGAAGACGTCAGAGAAGGGAGGTGGGGGAAGGAGAGGAGGGAGCAGGGTGGGAGGGTGAGGGACTCTCCCCAGATGTCGGATCTGGGTGATCCCCCTTCCCTGATAGCCCCACCCCAGTCCTCTGTCCCGCAGGCGGGGCCTCAAGCCCCTGGCATCTGCAGCCAGGCCCAGGTCAGGGCAGGCAGGAGCAGGGGGCCGGGCTGGAGGCCACGTCTCTGTCCTTGAGAGGCCCTCAGGTGGACACTCGGGTCCCATGTCCTGGGGGCCCCAGGGAGGTAGGCGTTGAGCAGAGGGGCTGAGGAGCCGGAGTGCTGGAGCCGCAGGGACACCGAGCAGGTGCCAGGCCGGTGGTCACGGTCCAGAGGCAGCGTCTGCGGTGAGGAAGGAGGGGCCGCTCAGCATGGAGGAGCAACCCAAAGCGCCGAGGATGCAGAGAGGGACCGGGCAGGGACAGCAGGGCAGGGAACGCAGGAGGCGCGGAGAGGCAGCAGGAGACAGAGATGGGCAGACAGGAGCCGCGCGCAGTGTCGTTCGCCTGTCTTCCCAGTACTCCGGAGAGGCTGAGGCAGGAGGACTGAAAGTTCGAGCTCAGTTTGGGCCACCCAGTGATCTAGCAAGACCTTGTCTCAAAAAAGTAATAAAAAGGGTGCGGCTGGGAATGTAGCTCGGTGAGAAGGCTTTGTAGTCAAAACCCAGTTCCTAAAGAGAGGGAGGCGGGGTGGGATAAGGAGGCAAGGGGTGAGCAGACCCCAGGCGCTGGGGAAGCAGGGTGACAAGCCCCCATCACTGTGGACCCCAGAGGCCATCAGCCACTCAGCCCAGGCCGCTGCTGGCCCCCGCTGGGACATGCCCATCTGTCTCCCCAGCTCGGGCCCCAGGGCCCCTATGGCTCAGCTGTGCTCCTTTCTAGATGCCCCCTGAAGTTGTCACCTGCCTCCTGGACCACCTGCCTGGCCCAACCCAGGTCCCTGTGTGTGTGGAGGGGGGAGGGGGCCTAAGTGCCCGGGGACTTTGAAAATGCTGTGCCTGCTGTTAGATGCGCCGGTCCTCGAGCCAGTGCCCCCGGAACCCCTCCTGGAATGCAGTCCAGGGGAGAGCCCCTTCCTGGCCTGGCTCCCCTGCGCTCTGTTGGCTCCTCAGCTGCCAGGTCCTGGTGCTACCTGCTCTGGGCCATCTGGGTCTGTCCCCGCTGGACTGAGGGCCCTATGGGGGCAGGGCTGGGCTGTCCTGGTCACTGCTGGCCACAGAGGCCATAGGTGGGGGGATGCTGAGGGAAGGAGTTTGGTCTGCCCAGAAGGCACTAGGGAGCCACAGAGGGTTTAATCCAGGGAGAATCGAGATCTGATCTGTGCTAAGAAACTCGGCTCTGCTCGCTTCAGCAGCACATATACTAAAACTCTGGGCAGAAAATGCCTCTCCACACATGCTGGTCCTTCTGCTGTTCCTGGCAGGACGAGCCTGTAAAGTGACTTCTCCCTGAGCTTCCATTTTCTTATCTGTATAATGAAAACAGAATAATCTCTCCGTCTTGGGGCTGTCTAACATATTCCCATGATGCCAGACCAGAGGAAGTCACACCTGGGAGAGAGAGATTCCACCCAGTACCTTTATCCCTTCTGTCCAGCAGACTCCTACTCATCCTGCAGCACCCTCCCTGCAGGTCACTTTCTCTAAGTGGCCTCCCTGCTACTCCAGAGGTAGTGGTGACGGGAAGGCTATGCTTTATTGTTTCAGCTGTGGCCCTGGATATCATTGGTTTCTGATGTCCACTTCCAGACAAGACCAGTCTTCTCAAGAGCCAGACTCTCCCTGAGGCACGTCGGGGCGGGAGCAAGGGTTTAACTGTGTTCAGGGCCTGGGATTTGGCTGTGGTTCCACCGCAAGGGCCTGAGTTTGATCCCCGGTACCAGGAAAAAAACTGTGTTTGGAGATGGAAGGAGGGAGGGAGGGACGGATGAGTGGGTGGGTGCTTATGTGGGTGAGCGCCCCTCATAAATGGGATGTGTGGATGAGGTACATCGGGTCACTGGAGGTGGGTAGGGGAGCGGGGAGCAGGGTGAGTAGAGGTTGGAAGGGTAGCAAGTTGGTAGGTGAGGGATGTCGGAGAGAAGGGTGGGTGGACGGCTCGTCTTCCCACCGAGACTGGCAGGGACTGTCAGGACTCCATGGTCGGGCGGTCTAGCAAAGCAGTGCTAGGTGCATAGGCCCGCGGCCGTGGACACTCACGCTTCTGACGCGGCCTCTATAGGTAATGCCACTCTGCTTCTAAGTTCAGACTCATCCCCACTGAGCCTGAGAGACAAAGAGGAGCGTCAGTGGGGCCTCCCACCCACAGTGTCCCTAGGTCCCTTCACCCCTTCCTCTGCCCGTGTCCTACCACGAGAGTCACGTTTTGAGAGGGTGTTGGCCTTTTAAGGAAGAGTAGAGACCTGGGTGCAGTGATACTTGCAGTCCCAGCTATTGGGAGGGCCAAGGGAGGCTGAGGCAGGAGGATCGCTTGTGCCTAGAAGCTGGAGACTGGCCGAGGAAAGATATCCTGAGCCCCTGTCTCACAAGAAGGGGTGGGGGCACAGTGGCACACGCCTGTAATCTCAGTACTCAGGAGGCTGAGGTGGGATTGCCAGAGTTCAAGGCCACTCTGAACTACATAGCGAGACCCTCAAAAAGGAAAAGTGTGAGTTGGGTCTAGGATGTGGCTCAGTGGCAGAGCATGTGCTCAGCATGCTCAAGGTCCTGGGTTCCATTCCAGCAGCAACAAAAAGGAAAAGGTAAAAAGCAGAGACTTCCAGTGTGGAGGGTTGAGCGTGGAAGTGAGCTTTGTAAGGAAAAGGTGGGGACCAGGAAAACGGCATCGCAGTCTTCTGTTTGTGTCCTGTATGCAGATGCAGTGTTTATTATTCTTGAACCGAATCTCAGAAGGTGGGACGTCGGTTTAGAGGCGGGGCCTGGCCGCGGGGCGGGGCCAGTGGGGGGCGGGGCTTACCCAGCGGCCGGACAGTCG